CTAGTGTGGAGTAACTCAATCTCACAGGAAAGCTCTCCATTTGTGTAAAACTCTGTCTCTCAGCCAAATTAAACTCAGTTCTGCTTTAATAGTAATTCTGATTTATGATGCTTCTATATTACAATCAGAGTGGGTGTATTTTTCCACAAAGCAGCACTGGCACAGCCACAGAGGAAACGTACTTATCATCACACTTCCACCATTACACCTGATTAAAGCAGCTGAGTCAATCTGTGGTTTTCACTTTTGGGAAATGAGGTGGGCAGCACATGCTTTTACACAGCCAGACACAACTTGGTACTGCAACTGCTTGCCAGTGGGAAGCTCTGCTTGCCTGCTGGGAGAGGCTACTGATCTAGCCCAATGTCTGAACAACATCTAACTTCTGCAAGAGAGATTCTTAATTTAATTAAACATATCTAAAACCAGACAAAAGGCAGGAAGAAAGGCTTTCAGTATACATATACAGTTTGATCTTTGAATATATGAGCTCATTGTGGACCTGTCACTGAAACAGCATGCAAGCTCTCAGTCCTCCTGAGTGTACGCTGCCTGTAACACACAACAGAAAGCTTCCTTCCCTACCTCACACGTTTACTCTGCTCAACAGTAGCACTTTCTCATCCACAAACTACTTTGAAAAGGTGATTGTTTCTGGAAGTAACTTGTAATGTTCTTGGATTACCAAAGAACTGTCTAAATGACTTCTGACATGGCTCTTTCAAAAAGCACACCTCCAGGATTCCTTCTGTAGCACATCAATAAGAGAAGGTTAAAGCATTGGGCACTTGGTGAATATGAGTAAAATCTTCCTCCCAAAAATCCTAAGCCCTGTTAGATCGAGAGATTTGCTTTGTCTTTACCTGTCCTGGCTGGGGCAGCACCCTTCTGTTGCATCCAGGATTCTCAGTCAGTATCTCTGTGACAGCCACAGCTGTAAGCTACTGCCATTATATTTACATTGTTAGGTAGTGTAACAAACAGATAAATGTATAGTTCAGGATCTTCACAGGAACAACAGCATGATTCATCCAGCGGTGCTATATTTCTCTGCTTACAAACCATACTAAAGGAGTACTAATCAATGACTAGATAGATAGTCCCCATACTTAATTCCTGGACATACTAACTTACAGGTTTATCCCAAAAACCATAACACATTACAGTTAGCAGAACAGAAGTAAACACCTTGAAACTGCATTCATATATTCAATAATGAATGTAATGCATTTTTTGTTCTAACTACAACAGCAACCCAAAAACCAATTGCAGTTGTATCTCACTTGAACATAAAGTAAAACACATCCATCTCCCAGATGTTTTTCTAAAGAGTGCACTCGGGAGTACAGTAGAAAAAAACACAAAGCTCTGATTAAGTCAATTGAGCAGTGTCAACTCAGTGGCAGAGGCAAGAACACACTGTCAGTCTCTCCAAAACACTTGCTCACATTGTCTCTCTAGTTACAAGAAAAGGAAGCGAAGCTTAGCATCTTCAGCTCAGCACAGCTTGAGAAATAGAATTCTCACAGTTCACACAAACATCATTTCATAGTACATGAAGAAACTTCAACATTGCTCCTTACTATCCAGTCTATTATAGTTGCATGCTCAGAGAACTCTGCCAAAATCATTGTATCAAATGATAAACTATTACTTCACCCCACCAACTTGCACTAAAATACACCCCCTGAAATACACTTGAGAAATGTCATAAATGCAGGTACCCAAAATCTGTAGAAATAACAACCCTGGGGAACAAAACGAAGGAGATAAGAACAGCAGAACTGACTGCAGGAGCAGCAGCATATCAGAGCAATGACAGAAAATCAAGTCCTTACAACGTACAAAAGTCATGCAGAACATACATGACTGCTATCCTATTAAAAAGCAGGAAAGAGAGAAATCACACACTGGAGCACACTGCCAAATTTCCTCCTACAGCTCAGACTTCAAGTTTCTAGAAAAAAAAACCACAAACAATGTTATTTACTACCAGCTTCAGAGTCTCATCTCCTAGTGATCCTATAGGGGCAGACTGGATTCAAACAGTCTTTTCTTACAAATTTTTAATTACCACGAATACTAGTAAGAGCCACAAGGAATGAGACATAACCTGAAAAATCCCAAAGGCAGTAAGGGAAACAGCAGAATATGAAAGCTGGATAAAAAGAAAACCCTAGGCCTGATAAAATCACAAAATGCTGCCATTTGCAATACACCCTGTAAATACTAATAACTGATGGTTGCAAAAATGGAGACAAAGAATCTGAAAGGAAGAATCTGCTACACTATAACAAATAAATTGCTTATTTCTCAGAAGATGCACATGTGGAATGTGCTACAGTACCATTGTCACATAAAACAACTGTCCAGACAGGCATAAGTATGTATCTGATAGTCTTTTCTTTTGTAGGAAATGTACTGCATGGCATACTTTGAATGGTTTCTGAGAATTTAGGCTGTTGGCTCACTGAAGGAAAAGTGTACCTCACTCACGCATGGCTGCGCCCAAGATTTCACAAAGAGGCCAGATCTACCAGTAGGTCACTGCAAAGCAAACATCAGCTTCAGTAAAGGCAGTAAACACATGAATACCTCTTAAACAAATAATTACACTACCCCAATACTGGGAGAATGGATGCATTCCAGACTTACATTCAGTTGAGAGTTTCTGGTAACAAATTTGTTCAGCAACACTTGAAGTCAATCCCTTTGTTCTTGGTACATCGCAAGCTGCTTCTCCAACCCTACTGATATCTCAAGAAGTCCACAGGGAGTACCGGATCTTTTGGAGTATGCTACAGTAAACTACTCTTCTTAATTAAGCATAATTTTGTATAATGAATCTGCAAAGAAAGCATTAATTTACCTTGCTATCTCAGATTTCCCCTGAGAAAAGACTTACTGTTCAGATCATGCCCAAGTCTATCAGTATGAATTATCACACCTTAATAATGCAGCCTGCAAGTACAGTTTCTCAAACACTCACTCTAATCAAAACAGAAATGCTGCGATACACAACATACACATGAATCCCAATCTTAAGCAAAAGCAAAACCTGACAGAAGACAGATTGGCTCCAGAGAATATCATCATCACTGAGACTCTTCAGACATCTCCAGAAAGACGTCTTCCTCCAAAAACAGATATTAACTTTGGTCTCTGCTGCAATGCCTCTTTGTTCTTGAGTCTTGACTTAGCAGACATGAGTTCTGGATAACTGTATACCATTCTCCAACAAAGAAATTTGGCTTATTTTTATAAAGCACAGTGGCATAATGAGCCAACTCAGTAATTAACTGTGATTCCAAAAAGCACAGGAATTTATCGCTGATCTGGCCAGCATTCACTCTTAATAGCTGCCATTTATACAGGTGAGAGCATCTTCTGACAGGACTGTCAGTGTAAGGCTAGTTGCTTTTAGAATAGACTGTCACCTACAACCATCCTACTACAAAGCAGGGGTTGCTGTGCTTGGAAATGTACAGAAATAGAGAATCTTACAAACTACTGTCTGGTTTGGCAAGGACACCAGTATACCAGAGATGAGCAGGTTCACACTCTTCAGTTTGTTCAAGACACGGATTTCCAGTTTTGAGGAGATAATCCTGAAGAAATGCGGGAAATATGAAGTTCAGATTCTCCTTCCTTCCTTCTCCTGCATGAGAGTTTCAAATTTGGTTTCAGACAGTCTGCCATTTATGGTTAATTGTTATGTCATTATGTTTGGAAGTACGTACGTGTCAGAAAAATAAATCAGTTCCCGCTTGGAGTAACAGATAACACAATGTATTGCACACACTTTCTAAAAGTATCATTTCTGCTTTCAGGACCACACACACACCTGGGAAGACAGGCATAGGAGGCCCGTAAAGAGAGATACGTAATACATGAAAACTGGGTTCTTAGAGGACAGGCCTGAGAAGGAGCCACAGCTGAGCGCTCTGAATCATAATTCCTTTCTAAATCTCACAATTTTGACTCACCCACTGACAAATCTGGATATAACATCTGTTCTACTTTATTACCTCTCTTCTGCATGCTCATTTGTTTTCAGCGCTATCAGCTTTCCAAGCTTTTAATCATCTTGGTGAAAATAACTTCAACTCCCTTAATACTCCTTTTTAAAGGTAAAACGAAAAACAGCTTTTGCTCCAAGTACATTTTTCTTTTAAATATTTCAAAGTGTGCTTGGATAGCTGTTACTAACAGATTACAAGCACACCACTACATTGGATGTACCTACCTAGGTAGCCAGGTAGGTACCTGTACTATACCTAGGTATAAGAAATCCCTCCACTTACCAAGTTCCATGGTTATAGCATTAAAAAAAAAAACAAAAACAAAAACAAAAACAAAAAAAACAAAAAACAAAAAACCATAAACCAAACCAAAACACACACAGAAGGAAAGAAAGGACATTAAAAAAAGTGGCCCAAAAAAAAAAAAAAAAAAAAAAGAGAGAGGAGAAAGCTTTTCTGAGATGCATTAAGTATGCATGCACTCATACACAGAATTTCACTACAGAATGATCCCTCAGCTACTTAATTTATATTTTTGGAAAGCTGTATATGACCAAAGGTTATGAACCTCTCCTGCAGTGAGACTTTACAGTCTCTTCGATACAGCTTGTGCTGAACTAGACTGGCGATGAGGGAGGACGATAACTTACTGTTTTGCACTCTAACTGGGGATTGACAGGCAGGTTTTCAACATCAGCCAAAAAGCAATCAGCAATTACAAATTGCATAGTATGACAAAGACCATGCTGTGCACATATGGACTGCTCTGGCTGCACACCATCTCCTCGCCAAGAGTTAATGAGATAATTTTTTTCCTTGGAGGCTATGCAACTGCTAAAGCCAAGAGCAAAGACAGCCTGTGCACAAGCAGTACCTCCCACAGAGCAGGCCCCTGAAACAAAACATTATCTAGCTGTAGACTGCAGCTCAGCAACTACAGCCAAGACAGGCTCCTCCTCTCTCTGACAGTAACTGCTCACAAGTGGGACGTGTTATGTGAATGAGAGCAGTTCCAGGGCTTGCGTGAATACTACTGAGGCTGTTTACACCCCTTCAACACATCACTGGTGGGTGGCCTTTCTCTATTTCCTTTTTGATCGTTTCTGCTCCCTCATCTTTCTGTTGAAGTACCACTATCATTATTATCTGGTATTTCTTAACCTGATTAAGACTTCCCAGCAACAGGATGTATTTTTAATTTTGATTTAATAAAATAAAATACCAACACAACAGAAAGCCTTCAGGTCTTTGACTGGATTCAGGCAAAGCCTGATGTTTTGATCATACCTGATAATTTTTTTCAAGCCAGATCTGAATAAAGTATTTAAGGTATTTAAGGCATATGCCTTGCTTAAGCTAGGAGTTATGACATTATCTTCAACCCGATGGAGCCTCTGATCATCTGCATAAGTATCTTGCTGAATCAGTAAAAGAGTGCAGGGAAAGCTTCATGCTTGCTAATATATGAACTTGTTAAGATTTCCCTTGAAAATGAAATCTGAAACAGGCAGCAGAGACTTTAAAAGGATTTTGTAGCCTGCCTAAGATTTCAGAATGAAAACAGATGCAAGAGACAACTTTTTTTTCTCACTCTTTCAGCTAAGAAGAATCAGTAATGATAATCTGGGCAATGAATGACCCGTTCCATTTAGGTTCATTCTATTGCACCAGCAGAATGGGTGGCTTGCAAAACAGGTTAACAATTAACACTAAAGGGATGGCTCTGCCAGCATTTCCCACTGAAACCATTTACAAACAAGATCTATGTAAATCCTGATCTTTATGAGGACGAATTTTCCAAGCTCAAGTCCAATTTTTTAGGTATTTAGAACTGAGTGTGAAGACCGTATTTTCAAGAATCTGGGTCTCATTTAACATCAGGTTCAGGTTTTCACAAGACCTATATATAAATAACTGAAGATTTCTAAAAATCAGCAATGTTACAAGCAGCTGATGTTGCACAAAGAAAACTTTACTTAACCTTGCTCACAGAAAGCTAGCAAGGTTTTGCACAAAATAGCAATAAATCATTACTATAACAATATACAAGGATATTACACATCCAACAAGTGAGGCTTTTCAACATGACAAAAAGAACATTACAGCAACTGAACAGATGTATAATGGCCCTGGCTTCTCACAACAGGCAAAGGGATGTGGCCTGTTTGCCTGGACTATCAATTCTCCTTCTGCTTTTAGATATATACCTTTTTCCTCCTTGGATGCACGCACATAACATACAAGAATGCAAAACATACTATTAATGCACATTTATGCACATATTTATGTTTGCACCCAGACCCAAAGGCAAAGGAGTTTGAGGACTCAGCAGCAGGAAAGTTACCATTTGCCAAAACAGTAAAGTTCCTTTCTGTAAGGCAGCATCATGGTGAACAGCCAGTCCTCACCAGAACGCAATATTTATTCAGCTGTAAGTACTCTGAACTCAGCAAGTTCGATGAGCACATGAAGTCTGTTCTACTGCAAGCTTAACAGAATTCATTCATATGGAAGGGTATCACATAGATGAAACAGAATAGGAAGAAGCATCAATTAAGTGAGAAGATATGGAAGAAGGTGTTTTTTTTTGTTTTTTTTTTTTTGTTTTTTGTTTTTTGTTTTTTTTTGGCATTTACCATATAACCACCAGAAACAATGGAAATCTTCAAGTTCAGTACATTAGGTTACTAACATCCATATGCTTCGATTACTAGCTCCTGTGACTGCTCATCGTGCAGCTTTTATGTGTAGCACACGCAGCAGGGCAGCTTGACTTCTTTCACTGTGTTCATTTTTTCCCTTACTTCACAAAAAAAACCCAACCCAGCCATCTTGTCATTGCCACAATGGGAGGTGACAGTTAAAGCCACTGTCTTAGGGTGTGATATCCCAAGAGTAGCTCCAGCCCATGAGGGATGCTGGTGCTTCTGTAATGAGCAGAGCGCAAGAAGCAGTAGTTTGATGTACAGCCTTATGTGTCTGTTATTCTATCTTGTCAGGAAAGAATAATTAGAGAATAACTCCCTGTTGCCTTCAACTCTTTCCTGCCACCCCCACTGGTCCCCATCCATCATCATGAAGACTTCTCTTGGTGATTCATTACGAGAAGGCTGCCTTTCCAGGGGAGGCACTGAGAGGAATTTTCCATTTCTCTCTCCTTTCCCTTTGCATGGCAGCAATCTCCCTTCATTACAAGGGATGCTAATGTCAGTGACTTTGGGCATCTGCTAATAAGGAGCAAGCAATTTCCAGGAGTAGGTCACACAATGAGAGCATTAAAAACTCTTTGAGAAAGAAAATCTCTCACATGAATCCAACAGGGAAGGTGAGCAAAAACTAAGAGCAAAAAAAGAGCATGCTGGCCTCAGTGCTATATTTCCTCACTGAGAAGCTGTGAGAAAATAAAAGCAAAAAGAAGCTGGTGTTTCAGTACTGCTGATGCAGTAGTTTTTATTCCTTAATAATCGTAGAAGGACATGAAAGAGTTATGCAAACTGATCTGCTTTCCCTCTTCTACACGTAACTTCCCTGCACAAAACAAACTTGCTTGAATTGCTAAAGGAGAACTGAAGTTAGTAATAGAAATATTCTTATTATGCTTCTGATTCTGCTTTATAAAGGAAGCTATGATTCTACTGTTGATATTCTAGGGCTGCAAATCTTGTTGTTAGGTAGTTTTACAAAAGGCTCCAATTTAGAGTAACATTAAAGAAAAATATCAGTCATTGACAATTGATCAGATTGTATTATTCCCTAATTGCACAAGAATATTTTGTATACACTAGCTGGATGTAACTAATCAAGTACAGTAAGCTTTGCAATACAAAGGCTCCTTCATAAATACTGCTATCTACCAATAATATTAATGACTACGTGAATAGTTACTACAGTGTTGACACATACTCATTAGTAATACTTACTAGGAAAAGGATAGTTTACAAAATTAATCATGAAGAATTCATTTTTATCATCTATCTTTGTCCTTCCCATGAAACAGCTTAGTTCCCAGGAAAGTTGCTCTTAAGTTTCTGCATTGTCCTGGTACCGTTGCATTCTAATTGGTCATGGTACTCACTGTATTTCTTTGTCCCAACCAAGTAACATTAGAAAGCGTTATTAGCCCGTTTTACTAAGGGGAATGAGTTCCTCAGATTACCTAAGACATCAACAGTTTGTATCAAGGCACACATTAATAGCCCAACAACTCAAACTACTGCCATGTTCACCCAATCTCTCTCTAAAACAGAAAATAAATTGTTCAGTATACCTGTTCTGTACTCACAGGTTTATTTCCTTGGCTAGCTCAGCTGGAAGAGCTGGTATCACCAGATGCAATGACTCTTTAAAGTGATATGATGTCAAAGATAAGCTCAGATTAAGAAAGAAGAGAAAAATTTAATACTGCTTTAGTTAGGAAATACTAAACAATACAGTTGTATACAAAGTTTCTCTTGGTTATTCCCATTAAACACAATGACTACCACCTTGATCTCTGGGTTGCTCAACTGTGTCTGTTCTTTCACACAGATTACTGAGTCTGGAAACTCAGTATCTATACACTATAGGATACAGCTCCTAGAGCACTAGGACTAGTGTTTTTGTCCTAGAGGACAAAAAAAAAATATTCTAACAGTGCACACGTTTGTGTCACTCTATCAACACATGCAAGACCATTACCAGAGCTTAACTTGAATATCCACTTACATCACAATTAAATGCATTAGAGTATTAGAGAAAGCTTTACAAGAGCTAATTACAAGTTGATCTAATGGCAATAATACTCAATTTTTTTTTTCTTCCCAACCAGTTTCTCTTTAAACACTGTGTAACACTGGTCCATTTAATGTTGGTAAAAAAAAGTCAGCCCGAGTGCAATACTGAAATACGTTCAACATGATGATGGTAGTACGAGATGTTTTTTTGAACCTAACTTCACAGAACACAGATGCTGTTGTCTCAGAATGCAGACTGCTATCCAACAGGTATTCAGTGGGACTGCTTAAAAAGCACTACCATTAGCAATCTTTAGATCATATGGTGGATGAAAGGCGGATGAAACACTACTTCTAAAACAGAACATGTTTTCTGGCATGACATCCTTACCAAGACTGGAAATTTAAAAGAATGACAATACTAACATTGTAGCTTGAGATTCAAACAAAAAGGAAAGCCTACAGTTTAGCTAGTTGAATACACAAATCTGGTGCTTGCTCAGCCAGTACATATTAAAGTATTACAAAGCAATAAACAAAAATTAAATCTCCAAAATAGATATTCTGGACATCAACGCCCCGCAAACAGGAACAGCAAGTATGCCTCAGGCCACAAAACTACCACAATACCTTTGTGAAACATTATTTGAACTGTTTGTCATGCATTCCATCTAAGAGATACTCCAATATTCATCTTCCTTAGCTGAATCGAGCAGCAGTAGTAGCCTCACTGACTGTAACATACAACTATTTCATAAGAACCCAATCACAGGCACTCTTACAGCAGGTTCTTAGGAAGACAACAAAGGTGAGAGAAGACAAGCCTTCCTATGGAAGGTAATACTCATAAAGAAGGGATGGCAGATCTAAAAATTTGGTAAGTATTCAACTATATCTAGGTCACAGAAAAAACATTGCACCACTGTATTATGCCTGCACAATACAATGATAGCTTAAAGCCTTGAAAAAGACACAAGGAAAGGACATTGATCACAATTAAACCTTTGTCCATTCCAACAAATTAGTTAGTCCATCACACTTGTATAAAAAAAATTAGGAGATCAGAAAAAGAAATCACTTAAGTACAAGAATACAAACCTGTATGTGCCTAGATGCTGTGGTTATAATTTTTATGTCAGAAATATTAGAAAGACTGTCTACCAAATACTCTATATTGGCAACAGGGAGAATAAAAATCTAAAATAGGAAACGTGCTAAAATTTAAAAACAACAGTTACCTGCTTTAGAAAGAACGAAAACCAAATGATGCAGAAACAAAGTCTAATAACATTCTCAAAAGACACTCTAGTCAAACAGCAATTATTTAATTGTTTGCAATGATCAACAGATGCAAG